TTCCGAGGTGCCCGTATATGTTCTACAGGAATTGCAGCCAGCCGTTGGTCCCGATCCCATTGATCTTTCGGAAACTCTGTCGCACAATGCCACTTTTTTTCGGATTCAGGAAATGTGAGCCAGCTCGTCACGCAACATCTTGGGTGTATTCTTTTCGGAGCCGATCATGGAAATTCACCACGGGCACTCACTACTCATCTCCAACTCCTCAATGTACAAAAGAACTCATCTTGGAGTACAGAACAACGAGCGGAACAAACATAACTGCAAAACAATCGCACGGCGAGCAGTTCCCGCACGCCCCATCGCACGCTGCATGTCCTGTCGTCTGCTACCGGAGAGGAGAAAAAAAAAAAAAAACGCACGGTCGGGTGTAGCCACGTGACTTCCGCCACTCACTCTCTTCTCTCCACTTCTCCGACCTCCGTCGGGTTTCGGTTTCGGTTTCGAGGAGTTGCGTCTTTTGGCTTTATTAAAAAAATACGCTACTCTGTTGCAAAATATTAATTGGGTAGTCCTCCGACACCATAATGAAGCGCCTGGCAAAAAATAAAATTTTTTTTTGGGGGGGTGTCAGTGTCCCTTTAATGCAATGCATATCTCCATAGCCCCCAGAACAATTCTCGTGGGGCAAGTGACTTGCTCATTCACATTGATAGGCTTAAGAACAGATGCCCAGTTGACATCCGTAAAATAATAGTGCATTTAAATGTAGTCGCCTGCCGAGAAATTACTATACGAGGTGTGAGGAAGGCATCTTTAGGAAGGAGGAGTGCAAACTGGTGAAATACGGGAGAACACTACATCAAGTGCAGTGTGATATATATCTTCAGGGACCAATGGGGATTGACTCCGAACGATGGAAACGCGTTCCATACTAGAGAAACATGAATCTAAAGAATTCTCCTGGTTGTTAAAGGGGTACTCTGGCGATTTTTTTAGCTGCCTCAACTAACTATATTTCCTGACTCCCCGGCCTTTACCCTTTCCGGTATGCTATTTAGTATCACGAAATTCATAATAGTTATTGCCAATGCGGCAAATGAAAATGGTGCAATAACCAACATTCAAACATACGCGCACTTTTCAGTGCCGTGACGTCAGTGGCGGGCAGGCTTGCCAGTCGAGCGAGCAGTCTAAAAAATAGAATATGCCAATCATTTGTTCCGTGCTGGAGCACGGGGATTGGAGCGAGCATCCAAAGCATTCATTTGACACCATGAAACTGCTTCGAATCAGTTGGGAACAAATTCTACAGTCCAAAGAGTGAACCCCTGCACTTTAACTGACGTCACTTTTTCGTTGTTGCCAGTAGAGACTTTCAGTTTGAGAAACACGGTGAGGACCAAAATTGTAAATTCTATAACTTCGTGAAAAAAAAATTATTTTGACCTAATATTTGGGATACTATTTTAGCGATGTTGTTTGGCGAGTTTAGCAAAATTTCAAGCCAATCGGGGACCATAAAGAAATCGCCAGAGCACCCCTTTAAGAGCATAATTGTGCTGTCTGAGATCTAAAAACGATACGAAGTTCAGTAGACGGCTGCATTTCTGCTTGCAATAAAAGTTGTCAGTGTGAACATTTAAATTTGTCCAGTTAATACCTGGAGCGTTAAAGTTCCCCATTATCAAAAGGTTGCACCTATACAACTCTTTCACTATATTCTCAATGTTACAAGACACCTGATGAGGTGTAGTTTGAGGAGGGAGATAAAACAATCCGAATAAAACACCCGCTTTGTGCACTCGATTTCAACCGATAGACACTCAGGGGACCCCTCTAAATCCTCGCGTCTTTTTGAATTGTACCGCCTGTCAACTGCAATCATCACACCACCTCCTATGCTACCTCGCAGAAAAAAGTCACGATCGCGATGAAAAAAATTTCAAAATAGGGCGGAAAGTTATCTTCAGAGCTAATGGTGGGACGCAACCAGGTTTTCAAGCAAGCACATAAAAGAATAGTTAGATACAGTAACACGAGAAAAGAAACACTCGGCCTTCGTCCGAAGACCACAAAATGTTTTGATAAGACAGCCTAGTCTTGCTCATCAGTGTTTTCTGCAGTGGTTTTTGGCCACTTACCGAGATACTTTGAGCAAATCATCTTGAAGAACAGCTCTGAAGGGCTTGAATAAACCCCAGTCAGCGCAACGGTTCGAGCCCTCGGGCATGTGGACATGGGCATTGAATGTGCCGTTCGCTCGTCATGTCCGTCACCCTTGGAGGCAGGCGGATCTTCGAGCATACATTGATTGAGTAAAATTATATGCACGGGCTGGAAATTGCTATGCACACGACGTTTTGAAACTCGTATAAAACGAATGGTTAGAACGAATTTCCGAAGCGGTAGCGTAGCTAAGTGGCAAGGTGTCTGCCTCATACGCAGCGGACCCCGGTTCGGTCTGCAGTGTGGACTTACTTTTTTTTTCTCTTTTTTCTTGAACATTTTATTTTGTCGATATTTACTACATTTCTTTCTTATGATTAACACTTAAAAAAAAATGTTGCCAACAAAATTTTGCTGAACTAAAGGGTATAAGACTTCCTTTCCGGATGTGCAATGAAGGAAAGCAGGGCTTGGGTTGTCAGCTGGACGCCGCAACGCGGCGTGTACGGAGGGGGGGGGTGCCAAGTGGGTTAATGCTTTTGCACTTAGCAGCCACACACTGTCGCTGTGAAGCGGCGTGAACGCAGGTTGGGGGGGGGGGGGGGGCGGGGAGCTTTACTTATATCGATTTCCACCATGCCCGTAACATTTGCGCCTAGAACCGAGAGGAGTCGGACACCCACCCAACGATTCCGATGCTAGAGATGCCGCGGATCTCCCAGCTCCAATAGTCTGTCCTCTTGGCAGCCCGAGGGGGTGAGGAATCTGAATCTGCGCATTCCTGGCTGTCAGCCATGGTGAACTAGAAGGCTGGAGGCCCCCGACACTCTGCCCGAGGGCAGACACGGGCCACGGCAGCCGGTTTCAAAGCTGCGCCGGCCTCCGCTCTCCTCAAGCCTGTGATTTCTGCAGGGCCCGCCTTTACGTCATCGCACAGTGAGCAGACGAGCTATAGCGAACCAGAATAAGGCGGGTACTGGAAAAAGCGGCGGCCTCCATGTGAGGCACTTTGTGTAGAATCTATCAGGTGGCACTGGCGTTCCATCCCGGACGACTTCTGCCGGCGGCGAGCCCGTTCGAAGCGTAGCTGGTTTCAACCTTAGTGGTTCATTACCACGGCCTGTATGTGTTTCATGGATGTTGCAACGTCTATGAATTAATGTTTAAAGTTTATTCGCGCAATGTAGCGATTTTGTGTTTTCGGTACGCTGTAGTGTTTGCCCTGGCTGGCTGGCTGGCAAACGCTCCTCCATACGGACCCGTCTACCTGCCTAGTCTTGCAAGGCACCCAGAGTATCTTGTCTTTTTGGAAATAAAGACCATAATTAGTATTCTGCTTTGATTTTCAGTTATATGCCCATAATAAATGCGTGTACCACTTTCCTTTGTTAAAGAACATGCCATTGTGAAAAATAATTGTTGAAAAGCTACACTTCCATTTGGAACGTGCTGAACGAAGGAAAAGTAGGTAAAATACTCGTAATCATTGCGGCACTCTTTGTGGCACTATTTCTGGAGTGTTGTAGCGTTCGACTTCCGCCGTCCGCCGCAGGTGATCAATCAGACGACTCTTTCCTTGGGGTCAAGCGGGGTTTATTACCATGACTCCTGGATCTCGACCTGGCCAAGACTCGGGACAGCAACTCCTGTCGGCCGCACTGGCCACCACTTTTAAGCCCATGCGTATGCAATGGGCACCGGGAGCCGCCCCCCCGCTAGTCGCCGGTTTGGCCGCCGTGTGGCGGGCCGAGCGCCCCACACCTCTCCCCCTTAGAGGTCGAGGTCTAAGATGGCCTCCTCGTGGGCCGGGTCGCGGAGCAGATCCGGGCGGAATCGGCGGAGCACCCGGATGGCCTCCGCGACTTTCAACGGGCGGGGAGCTGCCGGAGGTGCAGCAGGAGGTGGTGCGGCTCGGCGAGCCCAGTCCGCGGCGACGCGAGCTTGGTGCAAGGCGCCCGCCAGGTGGATGGGGTGGTGCAGTTCCGGCACTCCGCAGACGGGGCACAGCAGGCATCGAGGCTCAGGCTGTAGAAGCTCTGTCGAGCCTGCTTCCTCGCCTTCATGAGGGCCTGAAGACTGATGTTGGATGAAGCTCTCCTGTCGTCGCCGAATCCACCCTGGAGGTCGTGGAAGACGTGATCTTGCGCGAACCGTCGGAGCAGCGCCCCTGTGTAGATGCGCAGTAGGATGGATGAGATGGTGATGGGCCTGAAGTCTCCGCCAGTAGTGGCCGAGCGGGACTTGGGTATGAAAACTCTTGGCCACCTTGAGGTCCTCGGGAAGCATAGCGAAGGCCAACCAGTTGGTGAAAATGATGGCAAGAATGGCTGGTGGAATCTGGAAACCTCGTTCAGGGTAAGGCCGTCCGGGCCAGGGGCAGTCTTTGCGTCGGTGTTCTTGAGCACTCTTTGGAGCTCTCCTTCGGTGAACGGCTCCACCTCTACGTTGAGTACTTGTTCGGATGTTATGAACCCGTCAACCGGTCTTGATGGTGTAGACATGAGAAGGTCGTAGACCCGGTGGAGCTCCGAGAAGAGGACTGCTGGGTCAGCCCAGTCCAGCCCCAACTCGTCGACGAGCACCTTAGGCCCCAGACTGTACAGCCGTTGATGTTCTGCATAGCGTTCGTGACGGCGCTGGTTACGGTTCTTGGCTAGACGACGCTTCTTTTTCTTGCTGCCCTCGGTGCCTCCCCTCTCCCCAGGTCCTCTCCTATCTTGATGGGGTCCAGCAACCCTTGAGCGATGGTGACAGGGGTTCCTGGTGCGGGCTGCAGACGCACCCAGGCAGATCCGGCGTCGTGAACGCGGACCGGTTGAATAGGAACCGGCTGCTTGTGTGCCGCCGCCTTGAAGGTCTCCAGGATCTCCTTGCAATGGCGTGTATTTCGCTGCCCTGTGATTCCCTGTGAGGACTGGGTGGTGAATACCCTGGCAAAAGCAAGGTTCATATGAGGGTGGTCCTTGCAGGTGATCTCTGCCCTGGCCAGTGCCGTCAGTTCCGAGACGGTCCACCGCGCGTTGAACTCTGCTGGTGGAAGAGAGTTTGCGGTGCCAATGTACGTGTGACCTCTGCGATGATGGATTTAGCAAAGGGACCAGGAACGATGACAGTTGGCGGGGTGTCTGGCGAGGGGCCACAAAGGGATGAAGTTCGGAGTAAGGGTGAGACATCCTTTCCCCGTCGCGTGCCGAGCTCCCTGCGCATCGCCTCTGCGCACTGGGGCATCAGACGGTAGTCCCGGACGCTCTGCCATGTTCTTCTTGGCATCAATGCAGCGAGCTCTTCGTCACTACGCATGCACAGAGAAGCCTGGAGCTTGCACAGCACGAGTGCATGAGTGTCCCTCTCTGTCCAGGGCCTTGCCTCCGGTGTAGGGGGGATATCTCGGGGGGTGACCGGGGTTGGAGAATGATGTATGGACTTCTCGCTTCACCGCTGTGGTCTTGGCGTGGTGAGGGGTGATGAGGGTATGTCCGTCTGCAGGCCGGAGGAATCTTGCACTGATGGCAGTGGTCCCCCTGGAGTGGCAGTGGGGGGCTCACCATGTGCAGGAACCCTGGAGTCCGGCCGAGGTAACCTGCTCCGCAGCTGTTCTTGCTGTAGCAAGTCCCTGTACAACTTCCGCCCCCTGATACCCTTGATGGTTTGCCAAGGTACCCCTGCGTACCCCTTGGCGAGTTCTTTGTTGGTAAACTTCATCTTGGCGGGCATCGACAATTCTTGGACCGCCAAAGTCCTGACGTCCTCCGTGGTCCAGTCACCTGCTGGTGGGAGACGCAAAGCAGGGGTGCTGGTTGTGAAGGGCATCGACATGTCTGCCCTCTTGGAGTCCCGGGAGAACTCTGGGTGCTCCTTCTCCTCGGTGTGACTTGCAGGGGAAGGAGTGGAAGCCTGCGGAAGCTCGTTGCTGGCCACACTGTGTGAGTCGGCGTTCGTCACTACGGTTGAAGTGGGCGATACTAATGGTTTCTTCCGACACCTTGTGTAATGAGACGACATGGAGGTGCTCTTGGTGTACGTTTTGGCGAGGCAATAGAAGCACCTCCGTACGAAGTGACAACTATGAACATGTTCGTAGTGCCCCCCAGAGAGATGCGAGAAGTTAGTCGTTTGTCGCACAGGTGGCAGACAATCTCCTCTGAGGGATACAGCCTCTCAAAGGTTTGCTAACACGCTAGGTGATGGATGAGTCCCTGACATGCTGAAATAAATAGGAAAAAAAAATATGAAGCACTATTCCCCCAGCCGCTTGCGACACAGGGTATTTGTATTTAAGTGTAGGCTGTGAGGCCGAGAGGGAGAGCCTGGTAATGTGGCCTGTGCTGTACAGGCCACAGTAACTTGTTCAAAAGGTACAAAGTTCCCTAGAGCACTAGATTATACTAGTCCTGCAGACTACGCCACTACATGTAGTGAAAACCAGCTAGTGGTGCCCTGCGTAGCCCCAAAGCGTAGATCCGATCCACAGGGCTGCATGCCGAAGCACAAAAAAAACAAACCCAAAAACCATGTTTATTGCGCCAAAGTGCCGAACTGCGCTTGATTACGAACAAAAAACCTACAAATGTTGCTAAAAGAAAGAAAAGAAAAGTGAAAAGACGTTTTTCTCTGCTGCTAGTCTAACAGAGGTGGTGAAATCCACGGGTGGAACGTATTGCCCTCTGTTGATGGCCGGCGCAACTAAACAAAGTTGCATGCGCTCCCAGTTCGCGTGCAAAGTTCGAACTGGAAACAGGCAGAGCTGCCACGAGAAAAAAAAAAGGATGGCAGTGGGACCAGGGACTTTTGTGCGTGGTTCGACGCACGGAGACTGAAAAAAAAATGTTTAGTGTAGGAACCAGCGGTCCACTAGCGCCTAGCACTAACTCCAGCAGCCAAAAAACGAGTGACCGTTAAGGGGTGAAGAAAGCCTCAGCGGCCGGCTGCTCACACGTTTGGAGAGGTGCTGAAACTGCGCTGGCGGACTTGAGAATCTTCCAAGAGCAGCGGGGGGTACCCGGCGGTGTCCGGGAGCACGCAATAGTCGTGGAGGCGTGCGGACCTGGCCAAAGGCGCGATCGCCGGGAACTCGGCTCGCTAACCAAACGCAGCCGAAACGAAGCTGACTTTCTGTTTACCCACAAAATACCCAAGGCATTTGGCTTTTTTTTTTTTTTTTTTTTAACGAGTAGGACTTGTGCACAAAAATCGTTTCCTCGCCCACCCCTTCGCAGAGGCATCAGGCTGATCTTTGGCATGAAGTCTGGAAGTCCTTATCCTCTCCAAGGGAGAGGGACCCACCAATAGCCCCATGGCAACACACAACCGCCGGGGCGCTTCATCGCCCGTGCACCACGGAGGTCATCTGCTGATGCCGACGAAAGCACCTGACCCCCCCCGAAGGCAAAGTATAGTCAATACCTTAAAATCCTGTCTACCAAACCCAAGATTGGTAAGAGCTGCAGCACTTTTTGGCGACCAAACACTTGATATATATGTGATAGTCAAACTAGTCACAACCGGTGCAACACTATTGGCCCCTTTAATAATATCCAGAAGCTCTGGAACACTATAGTTTGCACTTTCCGCTCATGTGCGGCATCTGGGGTGGAATACGTACCCACCACCTGTGTATCAACCACAGTCATCTGACTACCTCCTGCAATAACGAGGTCTGGCACATATTTCTGTGTTGCGGTGTGGCACTCGGGTTCTACCAGCACCTCCCATCCCTTTTCTTTCAGATGACCAGGAGCATACTGCACTAAACTATCATGTCGTTTGATTCTGGCACTGTGCGTGCAGAAGCAATTTTGCGTAATGTGTCCCAGTGACTCCGCGGAGTCACAACCGGCCCGACGAGTCAAGACGTCCCGACCCCTTTTAGTCCTAGTCATGTGAGGAAGCGCATTTGCCCTCGTCTTTACCAAATCAATGAACCTCTTTCCATTCATCGGACGTGTACCTTTTCCAACCCACACCTGCGAAGACGGTACACGTGAGCACTCCTTCAGGGCAGCACCGTCTGCACACTTGTGCCACTCTCTCGCCCAAAACCTGGATACAGCACCCCTAGATCGAAGCACCTTGCCCTTAAAGATGAACGACCGTTCTAGTCAATCTTTCAAGTCGACCATGTGCGGCAGCTGCAAGGCCACGGCGCACGCAGGATGCGATGACGTGCCCAGTGCCAACAATCTATGCAGTGCCATACCTGGTATGGCGGTACGTAAACAAGGGGCACCAAGAGAGTCATAGTTACTCCCGCCGTTTATTCGCGCTTTGATGAATCTCCTCACGTTGACATTCAGAGCACTGGGCATAGATCACATTGCATCAACACCGACCGGAGGCCATTGCAGAGTGTGTCGGTCATATCGCTTTAGGTTCCGTCCACAGGGACCAGCAGCCATCTCCCCCTTTCAGCCTTCTCCTCCCATTTACACATAATGCCCCTTTAAATTGAATATAAATTGGAACTAAAATTATTGGTAGCTCTCGACTGAATTCAAACCCATGTGCCCACAGTTTGGAGCGCGGTGCTTTAACCACTCTGCCATCGGCACGAGTTCATAGCCGCTTCCAAGAGCGGGGTTTTATATCCACGGTTTTCTTTTTCAGGGGAGCACTAGCAGCACTGCCAAATTTCTGAATATGGCACATGATCACGTAACATTATATGACCACATAAGTTACCTAATCACGGAGATTACGGGATCATGTGTCACCTAAGTTCAGGCCTAATTAAATCATGCAAGTGCTAAGTAGGCCAGCATGATTACAAAATGATAACCAATACAGTAAAACCTCGTTATAACAAAGTTGAAGGAGCGGTCGTAGTTATTTCGTTATAACCATTAGTTTGTTATAGCCAATGTCCATTTCTCCATACTATTAGCAAGCAAGGGGAATTATGATTGCTTTGTTATATCCATTAGTTTGTTATATCCCATTTTGTTATAACGAGGTTTTACTGTAGTGTAAGGTTACGTATCGCATGTCACGTAAGATTAGAAATAAATGGAGCGTGCAAGGCTTAAGTAGGTATGCGTTCTTACTCTTCCTTAGCGGATGGGAGTGAAGAATGCACGAAGCAAGAGGCAGGCAGAAGATGAGGCTGAGCAGCCATGAACATTGTGCCCAGCAATCCCCATATGCACAGCACGCACATCATGTGTATGGTAGAGCTTGACACATTTTGTGCTTCTAAGGCTTTGACAGGATAGTCAAGCTTGGGTAACTTTTTTAAAGTGCAGCTTTTAGACGCCCGTTTCCGGGTTGAGCGGCGTCGGCATTGGCGTAAACGCGTGTTGCATTATGAGACCTTTCCCGTAATGACGTCACACTTGAAGTCTAGCTCAATTTAGCAGAAAAAATGTAACGGAAATTTTTCTGCTAAATTTAACGGGGAAATCGACATCACGTGGCCTCAACACCAATTAAGTTTCCCCGCTGAATTTAGCGGGAGAGTTTCGGTAAATTTCCCGCTGAATTTAAGAAGAATATTTCCCGGCTTTATTTAGCGGGTAAATTTTCGCTTAATTTAGGGGGAAATTGAGCGGAAATTTCCTGATTAATGGGAGGGAAGCAGGAGAGGAGGAGGAAAGGGTATGTAGGGGGAGCAGGGACATACCCTCCCCTCCCCTCCTCAAGAGCTGCGCTCTAATTTTACATTACAGAGAATTGTAAACGTCTTTCATATTTTTTTCTGTTGATCTACACTATTGCCATCGCAACATTAGAATTGCTAATCTTGTGAAAAAAAGTTCCTAATTTACCTTGCCATCAGTGACTTCAAACAGATGCGGCTCACTGACTGGAACAGCAGTGACTGCAGCAGCAGCGACTGTAGCAGCCTGCCCTCGTTCAGGCACTGTTAATATAAGCATCATTGATGAGAGACAGCTAAAAAACTGCACTTCAAACTGATCACCAAACCTATTCGAATCCAATTAGCATAAGCCTCAAACCTAAAGATTGGGATCTGTAAGTCGTGGAAATTAGACAAAAGAAATCAAAATGAAGTGTGAACAAAGCAGATGTTACATGACGTCTGACTTTAGCAGTAATATTTCATTTTTCCCACTGCATTGAATCGTTTTCACCCACAAGGCAGGGCAAGAATAGGACAGAGCGCTCCGTCTTATCCTGGTCTTCCTATTCTGATTTTGTACAATTTTACCTTATATACCTCTTATGCTGTTTTTGCACTCATCATATACAACGAATATTAACTAGCAGAGCTTTTAGCATTATCATAAAGTTGCGGTCTTGCAGCTGAAACGTGACCCCCCCCCCGGCGGAGGGGGGGGGGGGGGAGGCAGGCGGCGGGCGGGGCGACGGGCGGCTGCTGCACTGCCACTAAGCTTGCAGTATTGGGTGACGAAAATCTAGCTCTTTCCTTCGGAGCACAAGAGACAGAGATAACAATGAGTGTCCTTGTGATCCTATATGACTCTGACTTACCGACTACTATATCTGTTGTGATGTGTCCCAGCCTATTGTGGCATAAACTTCGTCACCCTTATTATAATGATCCGCCTTCCATCTGGCCCCCTTCATGCCCGTCACGAGAAATTAAGTAAACTAGTACCACTGTATACTGGAAACAAATTAATTTTCACGAAGACCTAATTTTCACGAATCGTCTACATTTTGCAAAAAATAGGTCTCACAAACTATTTGGCTAAAATGTGAACATACAGAAAGCTGTAGTGAGGTCCTTGCGGATTGCAAAAATGGGTACCAGTAATTATTCCAGCTCTTCAGCTTCAGTCGAATTCGCGAAAAATGGAGCCCACGAAAAATAAGTCATGTACAAATGCTTTGTTTTCCCTCAATTTGAAACTTGGCGATGACACAAGCATCAGTGGCCATGGCAGAGGGTTTTGTGGTGCTGGTTGCACCATTTTGCGTAAAAGCAAGTTTTCGAAACTTCGAAGTGGTCGAACTGGTCTTTTGGGGCTCCTCCCTTATCTTTCTGGAAATCTGTCTTATGCACCTTATGACCGGAGATTATGGCGAAGGTACCCATGACCTGGAGATACAAGAAACAACCCCCATGGTTCGCCGAGCCTTTGGTACAACACTTCCTATGTGCACTGTGAAATCTAATGTTTGTGTGAATGTAATTTCTAAGCTTGACAAAGAGTCATACATGGTAGGGGCTCACTGAGCAAATGATAGCTCGATTTGCCCACCCTGTGGGGCCTGCTAAAGCGCATCACGGCACTTTTCGTGGTGTGCAGCCGCTAGCAGTTGTTAGTCACCCGGCACTTTATGTCTTTGATGTAGTCCTGGAGAAGGAGGCAGGTGTCAGTAAGTGGAGCCAGCATCGAGGTGTGGTCTGCGTACTGAACGAAAGAAAATCTATCATCCTGAGGCATGTCATTGACAAGAAACCGGTACTGTGGCACACTGGAGGGGACGTTCATCGTAGCTCAGTGCACACCTTGGTAAACAAATTGTGGGATTTTTCCCTTCAGTTAGTTTGGCAGCCACTTGAGAAGGAAGCCATGAACGCTGGCGCCTGACATTTTATGTAGCAGGAGATCGATGTTGAGGGCATCGAACGCGTAACTGAGATGAAGCCGTAGAAAATCTTTCTTTTTGCGACTGCCAAGATTGTTGCTTACAAAATGACACGGGGTCGCCAGGACCGTCCCACAGCTGCGGGCGTGCCTAAAACTGTGCTGTGTCTGCAATAAGTATCCAGTGCTCTCTAAAAATCGAGGAACTGACTGTTCAGTATGCATCCTAATGTGCGGTAGATGATTAATGTTATTGAGGTTGGACGCTAATGCTTGACGTCACTTGTAGGCTTCTCTTTCCTTTCGTGAATAGGGGTGAGTAAGGCGTGTTGCCAGGTGGTAGGAACAGCTCCCTCATCGAAAATACTTTGAAGTAGACAGCTGAGGGAGGGATCAAACTACTGCGTTATCATCCTATAAAAGGCAGGTGCCACACCATCTGGACAAGGGCATTGTGATGGCTTGATCTTAGACACGGCTGTTCACAGTTCTTCCTTTGAAAAAATGATCCCCTTCACGCATGGTGCATCATTGTCAGATGGTGTGGGTGCGAAAGCAGAAAATTGTGACGACTCCGTGGTTCGTTGGTGTTGCAGACAGTGTTAAGGGCTGGGGGACAGCAAAGGAAGGTGGCCAACTCTGCTGTTTCTAGGAGAACCTTCTTGAGGCATCTTTCGTCTTCTTCAATGTCGGTTTCAAACCTAAGTTCCCTTTCAAAAGCAAGCTGAAATATAAATATATGTTACAAAGTTTCGCAGGCACATACTGGAGTGTACACGTAACAATACTTCCCTACCTGAGAACCCAGTTTGATTTTTTTCTGGAAGCTAATTGGAAAGCCGAAATCCAGAATGGAGAATCTTGATTCAATTCTGGAAATGTCGGTTCCAGATTGGAGAATCTGGATTCGGTTCTGGAAACGTCAGTTCCTAATTGGAGAATTTGGATTTGGTTCCGGAAAAGTCAGTTCCAGAATGAAGAATCTGAATTCTGCTCTGGAAGTTTTCTGTTCCAGAATGAAGAATCTGAATTCTGCTCTGGAAGTTTTCAGTTCCAGAATGAAGTTAGTGGAACCATCACCTGAAAATTGATATCCAGTTACGCCATGTGATACATATTGTGGGAAAACAAATCCAGGAGGAGAAACTATAGTGGTCACATACTGGTTTTTTTTAAAACCACCTAGGTATCTGGCTCTATACTTGGAACCTCCATTCAGGGATCTGTTCTGTTAACTTATCCCCAAAGCCAGTTTGTGCAAACTGAAATGAATATTGAAAACAAAATGTGGTTCCTAGAAACCTGAATGTATTGTAAAAGACCCACTTAGCAGAAATTCGCTGAAAAACCCTCAGGCATCCAGGTAAAACATTTCGCGAAACAAAAAATCTCGGATATGTATGTCGTTTATATTTTTTTAGTTGTTAGGCTGGCCCAACAAAGTGCAAACAGCTATGGAAATTTAAGTTATAGGTATTACATTTGGTGGCAGAGTTGCCTATTCTGTAAAGCATATATACGAGTTTGTGGAAACTGGAAATAATATAGAACAAATGGAATTCCTGCCAACCAAAACTTACAGTATGCCTAGAATTGAAAATGCTCAGCCCAGCTAGTGGATAGTGAAATTGATATAGAGCTGTCTTAGCTAAATGTCGACACAGGTTTTTTAGTGGCATCACCTACTGCTATTATGTCTTGCTAAGACGAGCTAAAAAAGGCACGTTCTAGGCAGATTCATGACAACTTGAAGAATGCAGCTGGCCCATCAAGTGCAGAAGGCATTTTTAGAAGCATTGAAATGAAAAAAAGTAATTGTTTTTTATAATGAAGTCGCCAAACATTTCTACCTTATTGGAATTCGTTAACAGCAGTTAGCATCCTCTGCATCCGCTCTACATTTATTTCTATACTATGATTGATCTCAGAAAAAAAATATTACTAGAACCCCCAAGACACCGGAAGGCCATTAGACACTACATAAATTTAAACCAACTTGCACAAATGCTTACTTCAAGTAATAACCTCAAAGGGCAACTCCACCCCAGAAATACATTGCTATACATCCTAATGTGCACGCTCTATTTAATATTTGTGTTTGAAAGCTCACTAGACAAGCATCAGTAACTATCTTGCTGTTCAGTTTTACGTGTGCCAGTTTAAGATTTTCACAAGTACTTGTAGGTGTTAAGAGACAAATCATCGAATGACAGTACAGTAATTAAGAGAGCCAAGAACTTATAACCCTCATACATAACCTATAGTTACTAAAACAATTAACTAGTCAAAATTAACACAGAAGTATGAAAACAAAATCAATCAAATCAATGTGAAATGCTATTAACAAAATCCTATTTTGTGGTCCACGAATACAGAAGGTTTTTGAAGCTATTCAATTATGATGCAATGTAGACAGAATAACGAAAGGTCTAAGTCTATTTCAGTCTTTTCAACTTGCATTATAATAACAAAAGAGTGATTTTCTCATTTGCCTGCTTGCAGTTAAAAACAAGCCTACCCTACTGCTACCCCTAGAAGCTTCACACATTTTTGTCAGAAAGGTTAGGGAAAGACACATTAGGAGGCTGAGACATGGAATTGATTTACTCAAACAATAGCCATCTTCCACAGGTTGATAATCAAATTAGCCCGACTAGTCTCAGAAGAGCAAATCAAGCACACGAAGTATAACAAATTGTAAACAAAGAAAATCACTTATGAATGTAGAGTTACCTGAAGGAACACCTTAGGAGCAAAACAAGAAGTCTGAAGATGTGAAAGGCACAATCTCGATAGATTTCCCTTGTTGACACAAAGGCAAAACAGGGACAAATTATCACAGGATGTTTGTTTTGAATATTTCAACTCCTAGGGAACAGTCACTTTACTTCGGCACACCTGGTTACATTACATCAATCGCGCTCAAGAAGGTTTGACAGATCACAGACATAGCATGCTGAGGGCTTCCTGAAAGTGAGAAAAAGGCATGGTGCCTTCAGCTGCTGTGGTTTAACAGCCTGCAAGTTCACGTGAGAAAGAAAACAAAGCCTGATGTGCTGCGGGAAAGCACCTGCCAAGTGATGACAACTTCCCTGCACAGAAGTGTTACCTCACCTTTCAAAGGCAACACTTTCAAAATGGTGAAATCGCACATATCCTTTATTTGAATGACCTAGGAGTCTGTCTTTTTACTCCTGGCATAGTTTCGGCTGTGACAAATCTGCCCTTTCCATGCGAAGTGCTTGTACTCTGTAGCCTGATCAAAGGCGGCCCCAGATCCAGCGGAAAGACAACTCTGTTCCTCTTTGCTCAAGGATGCCTTCGAAGAGGAACCGAGCAGGCACACTTCGTTTGCATACTTGAAGTTTTGGTGTTTAGTGTATCCCAGAATATCACAGCACATCACTTTGACGCTGTCACTTAGAAGCGAGGACACCAAAGTTTGATCCCAACTGCTGATACTTCACTACCCTTTCCGGAAGAGTATTTGATCCTTTCACCAGCTTCACAAGCTGCCCGTTACCGCTTTCAAATTCAAAAGCAGAATGGCCCCACAATGGCCCCAGTTGCTGCACTGCTTCCGCTAGGTGGAGTAACTGGTGCAGGCTGAACGTCATTGCTGGAGCTCCATACAGCCTCCCTGTCATGCCCACAAAGGTCCAGAGGAGTTTCTCTGAAAGCACAATATGACATTATTAAAGCTGGCCCGAAGCAGGACACAAAGAAACCGAAGGGGGAGAACTCGCGTGCAACATCAATGGATGCTGGAGTTACGGTGTCCCTCAAAAGTGCATGGACGGCCTCCACCAGCTTCTTTATGTACGGCCAGTATTGGTCCAGAAGGACCCTGTACATGCAGGGAAGCGAGTGGTACAGCAGCCAGTGGCGCCATTCGGAAGCCTTCCAGAATAGGCGTGTGCTCAGTGCCCTTGGGAGTCTCGTGGAGCTGTGTGGTGGCTTGATTTCAGCCAGCTGGCTGTTGATGACAGCAATAGAGGCAGTGTTTCCTGTAAATAAACAGATCAAATGTTACTAAATAAATGAAAGCATTTGCCAGTCTGTTTTTGAAAACTGGGGCAGAATCTTTGGCAATTTAGTATGAAACAATTGGCTTAGATAAATTATCCCTCTTAAAAAGAGTGCAAATTCTATGTGCCATTACTCCGATAAAACATACGCTTGGTTTTCTAATACAAACGTCTAGCTTTATGGTCGAATCCACCCAATATGTAAGTGAAATCAGTGCATACTGCCTGCTAAAGATGACAGAAAGTGCAGCAACAAAGAAAATAGTTTAGACGAGACATAGCACGAAATGCCTTGCGTGGTTTAGCTCCCCAGTTTTGCCCATGCTCTTTTCCCGGTTTATCTTTCTACGTTACACAATCCAGCTGAATTCTTCGTTTTATTGCTCAGTGCAGTCAGTCTGCAGAAGTCTTACGAGGCTTAGCCTCCACAATTCATTGAGCTCTTTTGCGAACTAATAAGCTAGTTAAAGTACCTAGAAGCCACACTGACAGATGTAATGATCTGGTTCCAACCGGCTTGGTGTCCTGTACTGTACTGTTGTAAAATCTCTAGAATTGCATAGCGAACTGACATAATGCCTCCTCTCCTTTTTCCTTCCTTGTGCTAAAAGTTATTTAAAGATTGTACAACATGTTTCGAAATTGGCACCCTGGATTAGAAAGAATGAAACAGGAGATTCTCCTGATGTTCACTTCCAAAGTCTCTTGTTTAAGCTACCGTGATATACTGGGCATGCACCATTGTCGCATAACTGCCTACCCCATATCACACTTTTGAACCGTTTGAAAAGTAAGCAAAGAACATGCAAAGGACTCCCATTAAACAAAAGGGGCAGAAGTCATTTCCAACGAGAAAGGAAATACCAGTGATGCTGATATACTTTTTAGTAAGCTGGTCTCCTCCACCTCTTCCATGTGACAGGGCTATATAACACTGGACGCAAATGTCACCACATGATGTGAGAAGAGCCTTGAGGAACTGACAGAATGCACTGAAAGAATAAAACACGTAAAGGACAAACACAGACACACACAGTTCTTTCAATGAGCAGCGAACATTTATGAGATGCCCATTACGCTACGACCTTGAACGACAAAGAATTGAAAGAAAACGAAAATATTCAAAATTTAATATAAAACCAATTTGCTCACAAACTTTAAAAATACCAAATTAAAATGATAGCAAAAAAATTATAGCGAAAAACTTAAGGAAATTTCGTGAAAAAGGGGGAAAGGAAGAAAAAAAAGAAAGGAAATTAATGACGAAAATAATCCTGGAAAATGGGAACAAGAGGGACAAAGGACAAACACAAATCTCCAAACACAGCTAGGTTCTTGTCCAGCTCGCTTGTACCTTTACATTAACTGCATTATAATCAGGAAATTAACCCCTGAAAAGGGGGGAAAATAAATAAGAAAAGAAAGGAAAAGACAAAATTAATTGATCACAACAAGCTTTTTACGATAATTTTTACGCTAGAAATTCCAGCTTTTTTGACGACAAAGCCAAAGATGTCCCAGAGACATTGCTCACGGCATATCTGACCTTAAACGCTTCTATTGTTTCGGGCCCACATTTATCTATGTGTGAACTTAGCTAAGTGGTGTTTTCAAAGTGTGGGGTGCAATCGTGGCAGGTACGGGCATGCAGAACTATTGGGTGGAACGAGTCCGATGATGCCTTGGTAACATCTAAATGGTGTTCCCTAAAGCGAGCATTTAGGCATCTTCCGATGGCCGATGTATTCGCCTTCGCAGCTCAATGGACTCGAATCAAGTTCAATTTCAAGTTTTATTCGCCTCAAATACGTTCGTTCAAACGTATTACATGAGGGGGGGGTAGAAAAATACAAACAAATGCAATGATATAATGGAAATAAAAGAACTAACTAAGGTTAAAAATTAACAACAAACAAAAACTAAAAACAAACTATACAGAATTCAGAACAAAGTTTACAGAAACCGGGCACAACAGAACTGGGGACTCAGTGCACAATTTATAGGAAACACAAGCAGACATGGCGCTGAAAACATAGTACCAAAGCCAAAAATTTTTTGCGGAATATTTTTTATCATTCTATTCAGTGACTATGTCGTTTGGGAGAGAATTCCCATTTTTAATGGACAGAGCAAGAGGGGAGTATTTGTATCTATTAGTGCGACCAAATATAGGTGCAATTTTCAAGGAATGATCATGACGCAAAGAAATGTATGAGACAGACTTACAGTGAGTGAGCATAAATGATTGCATGTTGTAATAAAAGTTATGAAAAAGAGTAAGGCGAGCGACTGTCCGACGTGATTCAAGAGAAGTTAAATTAGAAAGAACCAAGTCTAAGTGGGAGACACTGGTTGTCGTACTGTAGTTTCGATAAATGATTCCAATGGGTCTTTTTTTATTTTTAAGGCCTTTTGCAAGGCGTTTTGTTCGGCCACGCTACCCATGCATTTGCGACCTCGCTGCACCAGGATAGAAAAGTGCGTTCATTTCGCGCGTGTGAGGAAAGGGGAGGGGGTCAAAGTTTTGACTTCCCAGTTGGGGGTGGGTTTAATATGCAAGTGAAAAAAAAAGTCGAAATTTTGGAAGCCGACTTGGGGGGTGCGTTCATTACGCGAGTGCGTTCATTGTGCGAGTAAATACATACCTTACTCAGAACTGTTGCAAAGCATGACCTGATGCACACCTCCGCTCTCTTTATATAAACATTGCCCTCGTACTCCACTGAGGTTGAGTGGAGGTAAACATCCAGGAGATACAGGAACTGACACGTGCCGTGTTTGTGGATAACGTTGTTCATACTGAAATGTTTTTGGTTGACAAACTTTATTACGAGAACGGGAACGACGCCAGGCACATAGCTGTTTTGTGGTGTAAGGCTAGCTGAGTCGCACGTGTGGGTATCAACGCCGATTTGTGAGAAACTGCGAAGTGGGCACCACCAACCATAGTTTTCTAAATACATAACAGATCCTTTTTTCCCTTTTATTTTGCAAAAAGAAAGTTTATGCGAATTTTAAGAGTTCAGAGTCCACAGATTCGGCGATACCTTGCTGGCTGAACAACTTGATGGCTTGATCGAGTGGTTTCGGGTATGCGGGACTACTGGGCAGGACATTGGTGAGGTTGGTCGTTGAACGTGAGTTGGTAGTAGTCCTCAGGGATCGCGTTGTTGTTTCAAGCGAATGGTCAGATGGGGAATCGATTTCTTCTGTAATGCCCCCCCCTCCCCTCCCCCGTCTTCCGCTCTGATTAGGTATGATCGTGGCTGTTGTCCGACTTGGACCACAATTCCGGGTTCCCATTTGGGGTTTCGACGGAAATAGACTCTCTCGCCTTGACTCAGAGGACGTAGTGGTTTGCTGTGTGCGTCACCATGTCGGTGCTGACACTTTTGACGGAACTGAAGGCGTGCTTGAACCTCCCTGATGTTGTAGTGCTGCTCAAGTTAACGCGGAGCAGCTGGCTTGTGGGTTGTGATCCTGCGGCCCATTAGCAGTTCCAATGGGGACAGGAGCTGATCCATCGGTGTGTCCCTAAGCTCCATAAGAACAAGAGACAGGTCGTTGCCTTCCTTCGGTGCCTTGGTCAAGCTGTTTTCATTCTTTGAACTGACCTCTCTGCAAGTTCATTCGACTGTGGGTAATCAGGAGAACTTGGATTATTTGTCATGTCCAAGCACTTGAGATACCCTTTGAATGCTTCAGAGTTGAATGGCAGGCCGTTGTCACAGACCCCTTCTAGAATGCCGAATCAAGCAAACTCCTTTTTTAGGGTTGCGATCCTTTGATAGCAGAGGTGTCCCCCTTTTGCTCTATCACAATGTACTTGCTAAAGTAGTCCACTACAAGTAGGTAGGTGACACTGTGGAGATGGAAGAAGTCATTGGTGACGATTTGCCATGGTTGTGTTGGAGACCGTCTGTCTCCCAGGGGCTCTCGTTGGTTCGACCGCTGGTGTTGCTGGCAGAGTTGGCCGTTGGAGACCATTCTTCTGCCAGCACCCGTTCTCCGAAACAATGCCGCGGAGCGGGGCGTTTTCTGCATGGGTCTTTGCAGAAAAAAAAGGCACTCTTATGAACTGATGTGCGGGCAAAGCTAACGCATTTCTTTCTCAGAGCGGGGAGGTTCAGTTGAGAGCATATCTCCCTAGCCTCAGACCTTAAAGACCCTGAAGGTCTTTCCTTGAGTAAAGCAGTTCTTTTTTCGAGTGCAGCTTCCACCTTTTCCTCTTAGATGTCCTCGTTCATAACAACGAAAACTACCATCTTTTCTTACTCTAGCAGCTTTAGCTGGGCGTTGCGGAGCTCCTCTACTGTTGAGTATACATATGACTTGCCTGGAGGAGGCAGGTGGGCACAAACGGAGTGCACAGCTGTCCCTACGAAGTTCTGACGATCCTTTTCAGGGTTACTTGCTGCTACCTTGTAAACGGATGTCAGTTGGTCTACCCTCGATGCTGGAAGGTCTAGGGCGAACTTGGGCCCGTGAGACAGAAGTCCCACCGTGTCCGGGGAAAGCTGTTTGTCCAAAAGTACAACAGGGGGTTTCAGTTGAAGTCCGAAGCCTTCTGGCAAGACTTGCGTACCTCCCCAGGATTTTTACCCCTGCGGCCTCCAAGAGCCCGACTGCAGAACTCCTGAGGAAGAGGAACGAGGGTCTGTGGCGTAAAACGTATCGAGGAGTGCTGTCGTGGCCGGGGAGAGTCATTCTCATGAGTCGAAGTTCCTGGGATATCTCTATTCTTGAAATCTTCATGATCCTGTAGCTTGACAACCAAGTATGGGAGTGGAATCCCAGCACAAAGTCCACGGAGGCGTGGGCCACGTTTTTTCGCAAGCAAAGCCCCAGGGAGCGTAGACGGAGCCGCAGAAAGTTAATTATTGAGATGTAGCTGACGGCTTTAAAGGAAGTTGCGGGGATTGAACACAGGGTGACGGGCGGACGTACTGAGTCAGGACATGAAGCTCACACAACTTGAATTAAAATTTAGGGAGCTTGTTTATAGAGACTTACAAACACAGAAAGAATAAACCAAAAGAGGTCAGAAACACAGACAAGTACATATCTTTCTTTTTTAAAGTTATTATATGGTTTTCCTCTTATCTTTTATCACGGAGACAGTATAGACCTTTGCAGAAACAGCTCGCTGGCCGCCGCCATTTTGCGACTCGAGTGACCCCTATTAGCCAAAAATTTCTGCCACCCGCCTGAGCTGTGGAAACCCGATCAGCGCGACTCCCCACCTGCATCGTGTGTTCGGAGTTCGCCGGCTTTCCTTCTAAGTGTTTACTCTATTTGCCTGTTCAGGATGCTTGCGTGTTTTTGTAATCTTCCACTGTGAGAACTTGGGAATACCAGGACTTATAGCCTTCTGGACCTTCGCAAGAAACGAGCGAAGAGAACGGGCGAAGAAAGCGAACGTCAAGCAGCCCGCGACGCAGGCCGTTCGACGTTCTTCGAGGATTATTTCCGTTGAGATAATCTCCGAAAAGCCTTCCCGGATATGTTCCCGGTCTTGGCGAGAAGTAGCTGATAGGGTCCGGGGAATGGGAACTAAATAGACACGTTCGTTCATTCGCACTAGTGCTGTGTATAAAAAACATCACTCTTCAAAACGTACCCCAAGACAAGCCGGATTCCGTGCGATCGTCGTGAAGTGACTGTCGTCGACACTGTATTTTGGATATGCTGTGTTATTTGAGACCTTTCTCAAATCATGTCCGGATAACGCGGCACCGTGGGGTACGCGTACAATATATGTTGTTCGATTTATGAGACTCGTTGAATTTCATATAGTGAGGGGGCAATACCCATGCAGTTCGGCTATCTTCTGGTGTTGTCATATATATTAGGCAGTTAAGGTTGACACGGCTGAGTGTATAGTGCCGTTATAATCGCCACAGAACACAAAAGAAAAAATAAAGTGAGGCGATTTTGCCGCCACCAGCATTCAAAATTGCTCCTACGCAGGCTGCCACAGCCTACTGACGAG